CCCCCCCCCCCCCCCGCCCGCCCGAGGTCTACGGTCTACTGACTACGGCATGCGTTTCCATGAGTGCGCCCCCTCCTCGCCCTTCCGGCACCTCGATTCATGCATCAAAATGAAAATGAATGAGAACGTAATCGCACCAACGCTAGAGTACGCCGGAAAAGTATTGGAAATAATTAAGAAGAATGGTCAAAGAGATCGAGGCGGCGCAGATGAACGCAGAAAAAATCGTCCTAGGATGCTCCAAGCGCACACGCAGTGTAGCCGTCAGGGCAGAACTGGGGATCTAGCTCCTACGATCGGGAAGAGACGCAAGGAAGCTAAAATGGTAGTTTCGCATGTGCAGTATGGGAGAGGAGAGATTGCCGAGAGCATCTTGGGAGGCAAAGTGGGCAAACAACAAGAGGGGTAGACAACCTACGGAGAGGGTCAATGTTGTAGATGACGTATGGGAGGAGTTCGAAATTGTCGAAGTTGATACGCTGAAAACTGAAGTTCGAGAGGGGTTCAAGGAGAAGTTGTCTGTTGCTTTTGCCGAGAGGGAGAACACAATCTCACCAAAAGAAACCAACGATAAGGAGGGTATGCAAGTCTTCGAAATGTTGAACGAAGGAATAGGGCTCAAGGAGAAGAACCGGAGATATTGACCTTCGAGAACGTAGACGAAGATTTAGGAAGGTGGATGATTATGCCGACAATTTCTAATGCGAATGCGGCTCCGAGTGCGACCGGGTTCATGTAGTTGCGGAATATCCGTTGTACAAGAAGCAGAGGGAAGTGCACATGGCTGAGCTGGGAAAAGTAGAGGGAAAGTACAGGGAGACGTTTGAGGGACGGAATACCCAGGAGAAGACGGTTGCTGTACTGAGGCATAGAAATTGGGTTGAAAAGGCGGGAAGTGGTATCGATAGGATAGATAGTCTAGGGAAGATGTTTTTGAGCCACGTTTGGCAAAGAAGGAATCAATGATTGACCATCGGTGATCTGTTCTGTGGGAACAATGCTCCGTCCTCTCGAGGACGCGTGGTCAATGTTCTAGCCGCTAAGGCATGCAAAACATAATAGTACGCCCCCCCCGCTCGCCCTCCTCCCAACTGCCATCCGTATGCAAGGAAGTAGCACAAGGCGCCCAACACCCCAAGCAGGATACAGCGCATCCTCCATGTGACTCGCCGAATACCTCACGGCGCTTCACGCTTGTTGATATGCTAGCCTAGTCCGATAAAAACCCGGCGTGCTCCGTCCCGGCTTTGTAGGGATGCGAGGTCAATGGTCCAGCGACTACGGCATGCCCGGCTACGAATTCACCCACACTCCCGGCTGGCACCTGCTGTGTTGTAAACTGGAAAATTCAGCAGACACGCTGCAGCCCCCGAGACAGTAGTGGTATCTCTTTGTACCTGTCCATGGCAGCTGGCGTATCAGGGTATTATGCACAAGGGCAATTGGAAGGTCGGAATATCACCGGCTTGCCTGTAGTTCTAGCGTGGCCTTTGTTCTGCCGGTCTCCAGTTGGCGCGTGAGTGACTCCACGTCGATCTTTTCTCTCTTCGTCGCGTTCAGGGATTCCTCCATGCTATTGAGGTGGGCGTGAAATTTAACCTGCAGAGCCCCGTGGTGGCGTTGGGCTGTGATTTTGTCGCAAGCTGAGTAAATTTCGCCAGCTGCAGCTCTCTGGGAAAGAATCGACCGGGTTCTCATAATGAACTGTTCTCTGCTCATTACCCTGTAACATTCGAATGGCCCAGCTTACACGGACACCTGCCGTGATCACAAGCTATCTTGCAGTGCAGTCGTAGCTCAAATAGGTTACCATGCTATTTCATGAAAATCATATTACAATTCGAAGAATAGTGAATGACCCAGAAAAATCAACACCAGCAAACAGCACTGGAAGGAAGAAGAAGAGAGCCCCAAACCGTTAGGCACCATGTGACATGCCGGGACATGGAGGGCGACGAGGCAGTGGCATGATCGATCGCTATCATATACCGTCGTGCAGAAAGTAAAAAAAACAGAGTACCTAAAGCACGGTGCCTCAGACAAAACAACAGCAAGTCGTGGTGAACTCTGTACATGGTCTACAAGGTTGCTGCCACCCAACGGAGGGCAATACCTTATTTCTCTCGAGTCGCTGAAGCATATGATTCAGCAATCGTCGGTACTGGAGTTTACCCTGAATTTCCCCCGTTGCTCCCTCAATGGCCGTGTTGAGTGTTCCTATTCGGTCCGATTCCGGCGTCTGGCGCATCTTCATTTTCTCCAGGGCGTCGTGCTCGAGCTTCATCATTGTCAGCGTGTCCAGAAGACTCTGCAGCTCTATGGCCTTTCGGTCAGCTCTTAGCTTGAGATCGTTGTACCGCCGTGAGGTGGTCACAACGCCTGCTTCCATAACACGAAGCTGGCCCTTCGTTTCATTGTTGGCGTTCGATCTCTTTATTCTTCCGGCCTTGTCCTTTGACGCGCTCCCGGTACTCCCCTCGCCGAGCTCAACTCTAGAGCCCGAAGGGTGCAAGCTCCCCATCTTCCGAACGGCTTCAACAAGGTCTCGCTTGTGGAATGTCTTTCGAGGGCGACCACTTGCACCGGGCACAATTCCCGCCCCTGACACGGTCCCGTTGCCGACAGTGGAACCTAAGGAAGAGGTCAAGGGATTCAACCTGTTGGACGCACCACCCTTTTTGCGACATTTTCGCCGACCAGGGCTTCCCTGCACCGATTGCTGCTGGACCGTGTACTGCAATGTATCTGCCATTTACAGGCTTAACTCTTATGTTTACAGCCACAAGAGTGGCAGAGCACTCAACATACCTCCCATGAACTATACTGCTCGTGCCCGTTGCTGTTGCTTGCTGGGAGAGCTTGCTGAGTTCCCCAAGTTCAGAACTTTTGTCGGCGAGACTTTCAAAAAGGCGGCACAATCGGTTAGTAACTGCCGGTTTCGTGCTGTGTATCCCTCCCCCCCTCCCCATTGCGCTTCCAGCCGGCGCCCCCCTCTGGACTCACTTGCCCACTGCTCAACTACTCCCATGTGACCCACTGACCACCTGTACTAACAGCTCCGCAACGTTGCATTGCCCACTCCACCGTGCCGCTTTCGCTATTGTGGAGTGCCTGATCCTGTCGGCAGGAATGGACATGGATATACCCCTCCAGGTGAAGATGTTTATCTAGTGCACATGATTGCGTACTGTAAATCAAAATTTAAAAATGAAAGTGCAACCCTCTGGTCTTGAGTGTACTCTACTGCAATCGACGTTTCTGTGTACACGATGTACATGGATGACGACTGACGTGCTTACCCCCCGGCTTGTTCGATCCTCCGCCAACTCAACCACATCACATGTGCGCTTGTGCTGTTTCTAGCAGCAGGGAAGTGATGATGAAATGATGTCCAATGCAAAAGATGGTGGAGAGTAAGGTCGGTCGTCTTCCCAAGTTTTGTACTTCGCCACGAGCGCCGTTTCTGGGGACTTGACTCCTTCGCTGTTCGACAACCCCTTTCGCACTCCCGCAGAGTAGACGTGGGATTCTCGACAATGTTCGGTGAAGTACGTGCCAATGTGAAGTAGGATTCGATACCCTTGTACGACCCGTACCTAATACTTCGGTGAGCTATGTGCAACGTTCATACCTGTACAACCCCACCCTTGGTTAGAGTTCGGTAAAATTATCGATACCCGTATGTGTTCCACGCCAACAACTCAAAGAAGCTAGTCTTTCCATGGAGAGCGTGGCGAGACGAAGAGAAACGCCTTCTGCACAAAGCTACCGCTCCGTTGTTCAAGCCGCCATAACTTGACACAACCCGGCGTCGCTGTCTGTCTGCTCGTGTTGGGGAACAATGCGTTAGCAACAACAACAACAGCAACAACATCGTCAGCGACATCACGTGCAGCAGCAGCAGCCTTGGCCGCAGCACCAAGCACAGGGTCATCACGAGGTTTCAAAACAACCACTGCCGCAGAACCCGCAACAGCAACAACAACAGGTACGATTCATGCAAGGATTAAAATACGTTGATCTAACATCTTGGTTGTTGCGTATGATATTGATACATGAATTGGTAAGTGTATAGTTGGCTTGGCGGTCGGAGTGCTGTAATGAATTTCCCGCGATTATCTGACATCGGAGGGACCTCATTTTCTGGCAACTCTGACGTAGAAGTAAACTGCTGCTGCAACTTTCAGCATCTCCCATTTAATGTTCCGGTGGTTCCTTCTTTCTTTTTGTTGCAGCGGGGGTCAGTCCCGACTTGGTACGATCGTACACGACCACTGACTTCCTGTTGGCTTGGTTCATTCGATCATGGATGCTACACCTTGATGATGGGGGCAATGTGGCCGCCATGTACGGCTGTAAACGCATTGCACAAGCATGTTAGTGCCGCGCGTTCCCCCATTAAGTGCACAAGTGTGTTTGCTCCCTTCCCCGGTGCTCACGAACGCGCCGTGCCACCAACGCAAACGAAAAATAAATTCACTACGCAGACGCTGGTGCGAGACGCGGACCAGCGACCGTCCCCGTTGCTCAGCGACTACGTGCCCCCGGCGGGCCTCGCCCTCGTGAATGTGCCCGTGCTGCTCCAGCAGACCGCTTGCGCAATCGTCCGCTGGGAAGAGCTGCAGAAGAACCTGGACGTGAGGTCGGACTCTGCCTCCGCCAATCTCGCGGCGCAGGCGCACGTGAGGTCCTCCCTCAAGCGGGACCTAACGAACCTGATCCAACTGGCCGACGCCCAGACCAAGCATACGCAGAAGATGAAGTTCCGGCAGATGCAGGCCATGCAACAGCAAGCGACGGAGCCGGCAGCGGCGGTGGCGGCGGCGGCGGCGGCGGCGCAGGGAGTCCAGCCGTTGCCCGGAGGGAGAAATCCGGCGAGGGGCGGGACGGGGGCGGGGTTGGACTCCGCGCGCGCTGGCGTGGCGACTGGCGAAGCTTACGACGAGTTCCCGCCGAAGAGGAAGCAGGTGGTCGTTCAGCAGCCACAACGGGTGCCGCCCGCGGGGGGCGCGCTTCGCGCCGCAGCCGAAGGAGGAGCGGCAAACGCTTCCTCCTACGCCGCCTCCAACAGCGGGCCGACAGGCGCGATGCTGATGCAGCAGGGTGCTGGCGGTGGGAGCGGTGTTGGCGGCGCGCAGGGGCCGGGGCCGGGGCCGGGGCCGGGGGCGCCGCCAAGCAATCGCCACGAAGGCATCAGGCAGCGCATCGATCGTACGGAGCCGGCGAACAAGTGGGTTGTACTGGTCGACGCGTCGCTCCGGCTGCCGCCCGGCGACGGCACCACGTTCGAGCACTTCACCTGTATGATTCAGAACTTCCTCAACAACTATAACGGAGACGTTGGTGCCGAAGTCGCTAGAGCTCTCGGGAGCTGTCTCGATCCTCGCGTGTTTGATCCCACGGACATCAAGCGGGCGCAAGAGAGGATGGCGGATATATGCTCGAGGTTCCAGCATGGTAGTCAGCAGTGACGCGGCCTGGCGTCAGCCGAGGAGAGCGTGCTTTCATCCAGCAAAGCAGGAAAGCAGGCATCATGCACTACGCTGGTGGTTGGGCGCATGGTTGTGTCGACCTCTAACTGATTGGTTGAGAGTTTTGGATGTGGGGCTTCAGCAAGATTGGCCGTATGCCCAGGCACAATCGTTGTCATAGGCAGTCGTTGTGAGGGCTGTTGGCCATATTCACTCGCTCGCCCCAGTTCTTGTTTCATTGTTGTCCTCTGTCATTGATATGGCATTGATCCGTGAAAAATATCTCCTTGGTCGGCGGAGCACGGACTATTTGACACATGGTGACACAAAACAAGGCGCGTCATCAAGCCATTTGTGGTAGCGTTATCAAGGCGTGATGAAAAATGCAACTAAGGCGTGTGTCGGTATGAATCAACTACCAGCTGCCATCAGTGACGCTTCTGAAGTTCGAACAGCTCACTCACGCAGCTGGCGTTTTTTGGCTCGAAGAGCCCAGCGACCCTCAACGAACCAAAAATAAAGTTGTACAAGTGTGTACACAGTCTTGTTTTTGTGTAGATCCTTCGGAAAGGCACACCGACCGCTTCGCGAGGCGTACTTCGTGGAAGCTTGCGGCTTGTTTCTTGATAACCCTATGTAAGAACTCCTTTTACCGGCAGGGGAGAACTTCTTGCGAATGACAACTATTATCGAGACCCAATGGAAAGGTTGCTGAATTTAGTGCATCCATGCCCATACTTGGCATGCCTTTTCAGGGTGCTTCGTTTCCTTTTTTTTTGGCTTGGCCAGTACCCTGCCGAAGTGAGAGACTGACGACGAAGATCTTGAAGCCGCCTGCAGGATCGAAGACGAAGATCTTGAAGCCGCCTGCAGGATCGAAGAAATCTCTACATCGCTAGCGTAAATGAAAGTTTCTTGAGCAGCTCCTTGTTCATTTTCCCCGAAAATTTATGTACTGCTGAGAGGAATTGTTGTGCTTTATCCTGGATCAGTTGTTGGGGTACGTACACGCTTCAGTGGGTGACTACTTCATAACCTCATGAATGATGAGTTTTGTCACAGGATTAGCAACACAAGCTAAGTTGCTGGGGAAGTTTTGATGGTACTTAGCGTCACGATCGTGAGGAAACACTCTCACGTTGTTTTTGAGTCTTGGAGCTGCAGTTCGTTCATCGCCGAGCTCGTTAGCAGCATCAATACGAACCGTTCCGATGTCCCGATCCTCTGCTCAGCACCACCACCAGGTCCAAACTGACGACGGCGGAGAGCGGGACGTTCCATGGTCGGTCGCAGATCTACAGAAGAAAAGAACTGATAAAATATTGACACTTGTGCCTTCTGCCGTGGGTGCAGGGCCGACGAGTTTAAAGCGAACACCCGCGCGCACCTTTGCTGACCTCACATCTCTGTGTCAATTTCTGTCTGTCTGTGCTTCTGATCTATGTACAGCGTAGTCGCATCTGCTTCGCCAGTACATGCTGCGCAGATTCATTTTTTTTTCTAGCGGCAGAACATCGTCCCTACCCCCGCACCCCTCTAACGTCCTTGAAAAAACATGCATGGCGGAGTTCAACAAGGCGAGCAAGCGGCTCCACATCAAAAAAAGTTCGGCGGTGCAGTTGGCGCACTTCATTGAACATCGCAGCACCGTCGGCAGCTTCAACCAGCGGCGCGGAGCGAGAGCGAAAACCAAGTACTGTAACACCCTACAGGCGACTCTGTGAGTGTACGGAGCCAGACACGCTTTCGGACGTGGTATCTGGAGAGCAGAACCGGCAAATGCGTTGGTTTATGTGGAGCGCTCCAACCCTGCTGCGGGCGTTTGTTTGCCTGCTCTCGACGCAGAGGCAAGCATGAACGGCTACCCTCTCTACCATCTGCAGCTAGCGAACAGAGCTAGGGCTCCCTCGAACTGGTTTGGTGACTGCCGAGGTGCTGGTGGCCTACTGTCACCTCTGCTTGGGCGCTGTCTGCTTTGCGCTGTCGCGGTAGATACCCTGGCGAATCCACACCGAAACTCTCTCACGCACACGGTAACTCTTTTGCCTTCCGTCTCTCTCCCTGTAAGCCATCATGGGGTGCGCCCCATCGAGGGATAGCTCGAGGCGCCAGGAGCCACAGCCTTGTAGCTGCCTATGTAATGGATGCTACCCTTACCTGTGCTGTGGAGCACCGTCGGAGGGACAGACGACCACGGCGTACGGAGAGAGCTCTGCCGTTCCCTTGCCCGAAGGTGCGAGCCATTCGAAGACCTTTGTCCTTTGGGTTTGGGGACAAACGGGGAAAGATTGGATGGGTTCAAGAGTCCATCCACGCGTAACCTCTGGCATTTACTTCCCCAGAGAGCTGTGCGAAGGGCTCTATCATATATTCTGTTGTCCTTTCCACGCTCGTGGGCTTACCATCGACCGCCCATCGGTAGTACCCGTTTATCGTGTGCGGCGTCCACAGCGTCAACAACAGCAGCAAGAGAAGAAAGGAGCGCGCGCGTATTCCACAAAGTGTCGAGATAGTAGAACCTTGAAGCTTTCGTTTTTCAAACAACCGAAAGCTTGCCGCGTGTAGCGACACGCTGGCATTGTTGAGGATGCGAAAGGCTCCCGGAGCGCCCTCAATATGGCACTCCGGTCGTGGCCTCTGCCTGCCGATGCGATTGTGCAGTCACAACGCCGCCGATGTGTGCGTCGTGCTTGGACCGAAACCACCGGTACTTGAGAAAACGAGGTTCAATTTTCGAACTATGAATTGTTCTCTGTGTGTTTTTCTTTTGTGTTTGATGTGTTAACGACACACGGCGATTTTATAATATATTCGCGAATGGGTGTGTGTTCTTGTTTCTTTTGTTTTGCGTTGTATGTGTTGTCGGTCTGGTCCGACAGAGGCCAGATTTCTGGCTTCTTTCGACAAGCCAAGGCAACGTTGTCGTTTTGGCGGCCACGTTGGCAGGCAGGGAGGCAAGCAAGGTGTCATCTGTGTAGACTTGAGAGCGGGTGGCTCGGGGCGCGTCACTGGGACAGGCGAAGGGGAGAGAG